CCGAGATACTTCCCCGGTTTCGGTACGCTCCTGGGTTGCCAGGCCATGGCGTTCATCTTGGCTGTGGGCATGACCATTCACTTGCGCCGTGAGAATGCTCGGCGAGATGCATCGTATAAGCCACCGAGCGAGTACACTGAGGAGGAGAGGATTGCTGAGCGTGAGAGGGGTGATGATGCAAGCTTTTTCCGGTATACGGTTTAATCGTTGGATACTTTTTATTAGGAGCCTAGGATAGGATACCACGTATCATGAATGAAAACACATGGTCCAGTCATTTGGTCACATCCGCGGCTCCGATTGATGTATCGTGATGGAAGTGTCATGTCTTTCACCAGCCATCGGCCTATTGGAGACTCAGGTCTACACAGTTCAACCAACCGAATGGGTATCAGCCAGTTAGAGGTCATGCTACACCTAAACCGACTTCTTTCAAATCGGTCATGCAGATATCTTAGAAACAGAGACCAACAAAGGAGGCCCGAATGAGCCGCAGGTCTAGGAAACGAACCAAGTCGGTGACGCAAGATGGCACTTCATATAGTCAGAGTTTCTCTAATAAACCCTAAGGTAATTACCTTCCTTATCCGTCCGACACGTCCCCATTATAGCTTCCGAGCATACCGGGTTACTATGCTTAAACTTGCAGGGTTGTTCAGGCTAATCGAGCTGACCAATCTTGACTGTTCACGACTAAAATCACAACGGAAAAATAAACATCGGAAAACGTGAAACCGGAAAATGCAGTTAAACTTTTCTTATAGGTGGCCTTTGCTCAGGAACTTGACTTGATGGGGCAATCATCTCCCGGTGCTAGTTGGGGTGTATTCGCAATGGGCCGGGGTAGCCATGCAAAGCCTATTTTGAAACGTTGACACATTTAAGAACCGTTTTCCCCACAAGATGCTGATTGATATGATCTCTCATCTCTCATACCTTCTTTTTTATTCTTCAGCTGGGTGATTGAAAATGCGTCGTGGAACTCTTGAGTTGTTCCTCACCTCTGCCCTTTGGGCTGCTTCTTCTGGGGCCGTGACGCTCTTTGTGGCAGACTCAGGTGGTAACCTGACCACATTGGCTCTCACTGGCTCTGAAGAGAGCTATGATCTTGCTGTCACTTCGAGGACGACCGATTGTCAGGCCAATCCTTCGTGGCTGACGCTCGATCACCCAAACCGAGTCCTCTACTGCCTTGACCGCGGTGCGAGCACTTCCGTTTCTGGTTCCCTCAACTCTTTCTCCATCGGAGAGGGCGGAGTCTTGAGCCGTATTGGACGGGTTACTGCCCCTTTGAGTGGCGTTGCTGGTGAGATCGTCACCACTGGCAGCGGAGCGCGAGGTTACGTGAGTGCTTCATAGTAAGTGACCAGGCAGATGCTGTTTCAACGGGAGCTAACCGAGTGACAGCAACCGGAGTGCAGCAGCTGTATATGCCCTCGGTGAGAACGGTGCCCTTCCAGGAACCGAGCCTCTCCAGCAAATCTTTCCAAACATCACCAAGACGGGACCATTTCCTGCTCGTCAGGACAGGAGCTACCTCCACCATGTCATCATTGACCCCAAGCAAAAGTACATTGTCATCCCCGACCTCGGCGGCGACCTGTGCCGTGTCTACACCTACAACAACGACAATGTCGCGCCTATCAAGCAGGTGGGCGCTCTCAAGGCTGATGCCGGTACCGGCCCTCGCCATGGTGTCTTCAGGGTCATGAAGAATGGAGAAACCTTCTTCTTCTTCAACGGCGAGCTTAGCCAGAAGGTGTACTCTTACCGTGTCAAGTATAAGAAGAATGGTCTGCAGTTCACCAAGGTCTTCGAGATCCCTGCAATTAATGCCGACCTTCCTTCGAACACGGCTCCTACCAGCGAGATTGCAATGAGTGTAAGTACCATTACTTTCTGTTTTCGTCAAGGTGGCTAACCTCAATTTTAGCCCGATCAACGATTCCTGGTTGTGTCCAACCGTGAAAAGTCATTCGCCAACTCTCCTATCAAAGGATCTGGCCCCGATGATACCCTGTCGACTTTCCGCATTAAAGAAAGCGGCAAGCTAGAGCGTGTACAGCTGGCCCCGGCTGGCGGTTGGCAGCCCCGTCAGTTCTCGTTCAACAAGGCCGGAGACAAGATTGCGGTTGGTCTTCAGACAAATAGAACCGTGGTTATCTGGAAGCGGGATCTCGAGTCCGGTAAGATCATCTCGGAGGAAGAAGGCGGCAAGCTGGGACAGGTGCAACTTACCGGGTCTGTGGTGGCTACGATCTGGGATGAGTAGATAGTTTATCCAGGAATATCTGAGGTAGCCATTTATCAACTTGACTATACTTGGTTGCCAAAATTATCGATTCAATCTCTGTGACCCTATGACTAGAGAGCTTAGTTTCAGTGACAAGTCAAGTAGGATAGACTCTCAACAGCAAGTTAATTTTCAAGAACGAGCTTTTAAATTACATAGATACTAGTAACGGCTAAAGGGTTAGTCGATCGTTGAGATCCATTTACTGATGGATGCTAAGAAACCGATCACTTTGACATCCATATCGGCATCCATCTGACTAGATAGACCAAGGCTCACACTTCAGGAGCAGGTTGCAGGAAGAAGCCCGATTCCTACAAATAAAGACCCCGTGGCTGAAATATCATATCCAAGAAGGATGAAGGTGCTCCCTGTCCTTGCGCAAACTGCAAAATCTGTTATTAACTTTCGAGACCTTAACCAACCCGTAACCAATACATCAACACCAAACTAGGCACAAACCACAACTACAAGTATAAGAGACAAGCTGTGATGCCGATTATGAGAAACAGGGTTTCTTAAACAAGGATTATACTTGCTTTCTGATAGATCTGAAATTCAATGATCAAGTTCGAGGTGACTATTTGTCTCAACTAGATCATTTCTACCCTCAAAGAAATCTACTTGCGCTCCAAAATAAAAATTAGCTCAAAACAAGCACAGCTGACACTTGTCTTAGTATCGGTGATTCTGAGGTAATGAATCAATGATGTAGACTTTCCAATCGTGCCTACTGCTTCCGGTTACATCAGGCAGGCATTGCCGCCGCATGTTTGATTTCACCTTGACAATACAACAAGCGCGGTATCTGAGTTGGCAGCAGTCTAATCATAACTACAAGGGTTTTGTAGATCTTCTGAGGAAAATGAACCGCCCCTGGAACTTCAAGACTATCGATCAAATTCTTGCCTGCAGTTAACAGCTAAAACTCTGATCTCACAGTTAGGGAGTGACGCTTATCCATTGACTTCCGTCCCTGCCTAAGCTAGTTTCTGGAGCCTCCATCACATGCATGTCCATGAATCAGTCACTTAGCTAGGTACTTGGCAGGCGACATGTGCTTGGAATCAGCAAATTTTCATCGATGGCTTACATGGGCGAAGCAGAGTCCGCACTAACAGGAACTCGTTCTACTGTGCCTAGCGGTAGTCACTGGACTAACCTAAAGTAACTGTTTTGAGTTTGGGAGTGTTACTTTCATTCCGATACTCGTGACGCAGTAACATGGCCACTGGAAAGCGGGCGTCTTCTCACCGCAGCATCTGATCAGGTTTCGATTGATTGGCTTATTGTGTGGGCGCAGACGCAGCTTGGCTAAAGAACACGCAATCACAGTGGTGCTAAGCCACCCACATGTCTGCACACATCTTGTGATCACAGTGTAATTGTATATCTGCGACAGAAAAAGTCCACGGGCATAGGATAGCTTCCTCGTGTGAATTGGGGAAAATTTGCACCTCTGCGTGTCAAGGTGTAGGGTGGGTGAGGTGAGGATGAGGTGAAGACGGGAAAATCAGCCGAGGATCAGCCACGGCGAAGAACCCCACAATTCCACCCGCCAGCAGAGCTTTAAATTTTGCGCGGGTCGCGCTCCTTCTCTTCTTCTTTTTCTTTTCTCCTCATGACCCTTCCATTCAAATAAACGTGAGTCCCTCCAATCGCACAAACAGCGCACGACATCACCGAGACCTTGTCTTGCTAACAATCCATCAGATGATGAGAACCGCGTGCCTAATATGATGCAGATGCCGTCTCTCCGGACCTCGAAACCCTCCTTCCTTCGGGTCGGCTTAAGCGGTTCCGGGGCGAGGAGAGGTCGGTATCATGAAATGGGCGTTCGACACACCGACCTTGTTAAGCATCGGACGCGATGAAAAACAGCTCTGACTTATTACGAATGGAAAGGGATTCTTTGATCTTGTTGGCTTTGTGCGGCTTGGGGAGACCCAGCAGCAGAATTTGAAGCTTCGAGTAACAGGTAAGTCTTGTGGGAATGGTTGTTTGCAGATAGCTTGGGAGAATTGGAACTGTTTCACATTGTTTTCCATCCATGTCGAGTTTGCCGTGTCAGTTTGCCGTTTGCGTGATTGCCATGAATGCTCCAAGCCGAAATGAAGAGAGACATGCTGTGCCGCTTGCAGACAATCAGCACCGACATGTCGCACATCGAGTAAACAAACAGCGGGACTCCTATTCTCTGCATCCGAGACGGAAGGCTGAAGAGAATTATCACCCCTGGCTCTTGTCAATGTCAATATCTGGGCAGCGTCAATCTCTATTATCCGTCGGGCACCATCATCTCCATCTCCATCTTCAGTGGAGCTCACTTGATGGTCCCTGAGAGAAAGCTCTGAGAGGTGGTGACGACATCCTGCCCGAGACCCCGTAGCGTCCCCTGGATCATTACAGTGGCAGCGCCGGATTCAACCACCAGTCCGGCGGAGGGGAGTTATAGAGGTACTTTTACGGTCACATTGTATAGGTGATATCTGAAGTACCCCCTTATCTAACATTCTCTTCCAAATCTCCACCTCCCAGACAACCACCACCGCCCAACCTCCAACCTGACAACACACACCCCCCTCCCCTGGTCCTGCCACGCCCCAAATTCGTCCACGTCCCCCGGCGCGGATGCGGATCCTTGGGCACTCTCTCTCTTTCCTTTCGTGTTCCTCTATCTCTGCGCTGGCGATTTGAAAGCCCTCAACTCCAACTCGACGTGACGGCTACCGCCTGCGACGACCACCTTCCACCAAGACACCATCTCGAGTCGATCCTCCATCTCTTCCTCCTCCGTCTCAACCTCCGACCGCCGGCCCGTCTGCTTCATCATCCCGCTCCGGTCCAGTCCAACCTCAGTGCTCCGATTCATCCCCTCTATCATTCGGCGCCTACGAATCCTGAAGCTGTCTCCTCTCGTCACACAGCTCGACCGAGGTCCCAGTAGCGAGCACAATGTCTAGCTCTTTCGAAAAGTCCGTCAAGGGCGCTACAAAGATCAAGGTGCGTTGTCTGAATCACTGCTCGCATGCAGCGGCCAGCACGGGATTCGGCATATCTAGCTCTCAACCCTCGCGCCTCTTGTCTTGTTCTGCGACCTGTACTTGGTATGCTGACGCAAGCTCCTCACTTTAGAATGCCCCTCCAAAGACAAAGTATATCGAGCACATCCTAGTCGCTACCCATTCCGGCGAAGCTGGCGTCGGCGAAGTCTTTCGCGCCCTCACATACCGCCTCCGCGATTCCACATGGACCGTCGTCTTCAAGAGTCTGATTACTGTGCATCTCATGATTCGGGAAGGTTCACCAGATGTCACACTCGCCTTTCTCTCAACGCACCGCAATGTGTTGGCAACAAGCAGCTTCACAGATGGTATGTGGTGCTATCTACGACAAGGGTTGAGCGGGCATCTCCGAACGTGATGATTAACGAATTTGTAGCCCAAACTCAAGGACGCAACATTCGACATTATGCCTATTATTTGTCCGAGCGAGCGCGCGCATACCGAGATACCAAGACCGATTGGGTCCGCGCCCCCGAGTCAAGACTGGAGAAGCTTTCAGTCGAAAAGGGTCTATTACGAGAGACGGAAGTGGTCCAACACCAGCTCGAGGCCTTGTTGAAGTGCGATGTACGTGAACATGGAGAACATGGCAGCATCGCCGTCGATTGCGCTGCCTCCAACGCCGACATTGAAGCGCTAACACTTCCTCCAGGTCATGGAAAACGAACCCGAAAACGAAATCACTATAACCGTCTTCCGATTGCTTGTCTTGGACCTGTTGGCGCTGTTCCAGGTTCTTAATCAAGGGTTGATTAGCATTCTCGGTTGGTTCCCCTCCCCCTCCCCCTCATGTCTCAGTGCCTCCTTTACTGACCAAGACCCGTTTATAGGCCACTTTTTCGAAATGTCAAAGGTCGATGCCGAGCGTGCCATGGCGATTTACCGCAAGTTCACCAAGCAGACAGACTACGTGGTCCAGTACCTCAGCGTTGCCCGACAGTACGAGCACCACACACGAGTCGAGGTTCCAAAGCTCAAGCACGCCCCTGTCAACCTGGGACGCCAGCTTGAGGAATACCTGAATGATCCAGACTTTGAGGTCCACCGGAGGCAGTATCTCGCTGAGCAGGATGTCAAGAAGCACGGGGGTGGGAGTTCAAGCTCTAAGGGGGCGGGTCTTAGTAAGAAGAAGAGCCTCGATTTCCCCGAGCCTTCCTCCAACAACCCCTTTCCCAAGGTTATCAAGGCTTCTTCAACTGGTGGCAAGCCTTCCGAGTCCAAGCCTCAAGCCAACAAGGGCCCTGATCCTGATTTGATCGACTTCTTCGACTCAATCGAGCAGAACCAGACACCGCTGGCTATGACCACCAACCAAGCACAGCCCTTCCAACAGCAACCGACAGGCATGCAGTTCCAGCAGAATGGTTTTGGTGCTCAACCTACGGGCTTTGCAGCCAACAACAGCCCCTTCCAGCAGCCCCAGCCTACAGGCGGACTTGTGCAACAACCTCAAATCCTGCAACCCAGCTTTACGGGCGCCGGCTTCGGAGGGTTCACTTCACAACCTGGATTCCAACCGAGTTCTCTTGCACCAATTCCCCAGGACTCTGTGGCCAACTTCCCTACTGCTTCTCCAGCCGTTCAACAGCCAGTTCAAAACGGAGGGCTTCAACCCGTGCAGAATGGAGGTCTCCAGCCAATGGTAACAGGGCAACAGAGCACCAATCCCTTCAGGCAGTCCATGCTTATGGCTCAGCAAACGGGTGTTCAAGCGAACCAGATGCCTTCTTCCGTTTCAACGCCTGCGCTAAACCGTCAATCAACAAACCCGTTTGCTCGATCACCAGGGCAGAACACATCGCCATTTGCCCAAGCTTCCAATTCACCTTTCCAACAACCTACTCAACAACAGCCTCAACAACAAGCTGCTGCTCTACAGCCAACTCCAACTGGTACGAATCCCTTTGCTCGACACTCGATGCTACCAGCGCAAAGCCAGGAGCAGCAAAGGCCACAGACTGCAGGAGCTGCACTTGTCGCCCAGCCTACTGGAAGCACAAATCCATTCCGTCACGGCGCCTTTGTAAACCACGCCACAGGCACAGGATGGCAACACAATCAAGCACCGATCGGAGGTGGCCTCGATCAACTCGAAACAATGCCCGTGTTCCCCCGACCTGCGCAGCAGACCCCCTGGCAGCAATAAAGGGGTATAAATTCTCCACCACTCTCACATCTACATGACACTATACTCAACACTCTGAGCCTTTTTTCTCTCTCTCACACATCCACAACCCGGGTTTCTCGGCGCTTTCATTGTCTTTTTTGGCTGTACAATCCTCCCTTTCCATATAGTAAGCGAGGCGTTTTTCGGAAGGGGGATGAAGAAAGATGGGAAAAGGAGGGGATCCCCGCAAGGTGAAAGGATGGCTTTTTTTGATACGCAAGGGGGAGTGTATTTGACTCTCCGGTAGCATTATTATATTTAACCTGCCCTGGCGAGAATCTACTCCCTTTTGCGGTAACCTCGGCGATTCCTCTGATTCCCTTTTCTTATTGGTATTATTTTATTATTCTCCTTGGTTTAGTATAGTAGCAGTCATAAAAAAATATCATTGGTGTTATTATATTAACTCCCCTTGGTCTCCCTCCTCCTTTTATATATCCTGGTCTCGATCGAATTCTGGTTTATACCCATGGTATCGTGCCGTGTTTTTGTACCCCTCGTGAAACTCCTAGTCTCTATAGCGAGTGTCGTCTCGTACCTTGTTCCATTTGTTTCGTTTCCCCTAGACGCCTTTGAACCGTAAAACGCCGTAGCTATGCTCCCAAGTGCAATATTCCCACCCAAAAAAAGATACTGTCCTCCTCTAGAAAGGATCATCGACGTCCATCTTTCCTCCAGTATCCCCTGTAACAGCCGCTTCCCTTGCTCCAGCTGTAGCAACACTCCTATCCAGCTTCTCCTCACCGACAAACACGCCCAAGCCAGAGAATGCTTCGAATAGTGCTCGGGAGAGGTACTCGTCGGGACTGTACCCTCCAGCTTTGAACTCGGTCTTTGTCCTTGTGATCTCGACCCATTCGTTCGAGTACACTGCCAACTTTTCCGGCGCGAGGTCGACACGCTGTGTCGTGAGTCGTACTCCTCCGTAGGGATCGTATGGCTTGTCGTCGACGACGTGATGTGCTGGGCCCTTCTTGTCGCGCAGACCACGGATCGAAAGCCCTCCTGCACCAGCTGCACCCAAAGCACCATCGCGCTTTGTCTGACCTCGCTTCTTGAGTAAAATCTTGTTCATCGTCTCAGTTGCGCGGCCGTCTTCAGCACTCTGGAGAGAATCGAGCATCTCTTCACGGAAGCGCTTCGCGTTGGCTTTCTCTTCCATCTCGGCCTTGTGCTCGTCCATACGACGCTGTCTTGCTTCGTCTGCTTCAGCTGCCAAGCGACGTTGACGCGCTTCGTCTGATTCTCGAGCAAGACGTCGATTGCGCTCAATGTCGGCCTTGTGCTTCGCTTCCCACTCCGACAGCTGAGCCTCTGCCTTGCGCTTCGCCTCCTCATTACCGCTGACGATATCGCTCGTCAAGCACTCGACCATTTCAAGGTACTCATTATAATCCTCCAGCGTCTCAAAGTCTTCCTCAACCTTGTTGAAAACAGCCGCGACACGTCTTCGAATGTCTACCTCGCGCTCAACGCCCAGATCCGCAAAAAAGGCCGTCTTGAAACCCCTGAGACGCAGCGTCTTGTGACAACCAGCATACGGACACTGATTAGGTCCGTCCTTGAAGATGCGCTCGACGCACGTCTTGCACATGCGGTGGTAGCACTCGGGGTTGATGCGAAACTCCATGTCACGGTTGAAGTACCGCGTCGTCTTGCATACGGGGCACGTCTCGTCTTGATCGGGTGGAGGAGGAACATTGTTGGTAAAGTCGGAGTGGCGCACCGAGATGGCGCCTGTTCGAGACATGGTTGCGGGGGTGTTGAAGGGATCGAGATGCGAGGTTGAGGAGGAGAGGACAAGGCAGAAGAGGAAGCACGCTTTGTTTGGTTAAAGATAGTGATTCACTGTTGGTTCTGCGCGGCTGAGGCTACAGGGATTAGATGTTTCATGGATCACTTCCTATTGGCTAAAGCTTGTTACCCGCTGGCCCCACACCGACTCTGCCCCTCCATGGAATTGTCAGCCTTCTCTCATACGAATTGCTTCCATCATCTTCTTCTATCACGACAACTCAAAATGGCCGACAAAGGTGTGTTGCTGACTCTACCTCGACATGTTTCTATTGCTAAACTAGCCTCCAATGGCAGAACCCACTCCCGTTGAAGACGCTGCCGCTCGTGCCAAGGAGGCCGAGGAGCAGGCTACTCTGCCCTACAAGTGGACGCAGGTCATCTCTGAGCTTGACATCACCTTTACCGTCCCCGGGAACTACAAGTCTAGAGATCTCGTGATTGAGATCAAGAAGAACAGCCTCCAGGCGGGTGTCAAGGGTCAGGAACCCCTCATCAAGGTACATACACCCTCACTCATGACTTGGCTTCCTCCATCGTCGCCAGTCTCAGCTCCAAGCTAACACCTCTAGGGCGACCTCCCCCACCCCATCCACGTCGACGACTCAACCTGGACGCTGAGCACCAACACCGACGGCACCAAGACGGTTGAGATCCACCTCGACAAGATGAACAAGATGGAGTGGTGGGCGCACGTCGTGACCAACGCTCCCAAGATCGACGTGTCCAAGATCCAGCCCGACTCGTCCAAGCTGTCTGACCTTGACGGCGAGACGCGCGGCATGGTTGAGAAGATGATGTTTGACCAGCAGCAAAAGGAGCGCGGCCTGCCCACCTCTGACGAGCAAAAGAGGCTCGACATTCTCAAGCAGTTCCAGGACCAGCATCCCGAGATGGACTTTAGCAAGGCCAAGATTAACTGAGCGAGAGCAATCAAAAGTGTATTATCCTGTCATGGCCAAGACAATGGTTATTTGAGTTACTTTGACTGTGTCTCATCTTGTTTCCAGTGCCACTGCTGCCCGTTCCAGAAAAGCGTTAAACTCCTTGACCTGCTGGAGCATTCCGCCTGCTGAGCTTGCAGAGCTAGCTTCGTTTGTGATGCGTGCCACAAGTAGCTCGAGGTTTGCCAGCTCGGCCTTTTTCTCTTGGGCGCGTGATAATTCGGGAGCATCTCGTCCCTGTTCAACCGCGAGATCTACATCATGCATGATAGCAGACGTGTCAAGACGGTACTAGGTGGAACGTTAGTCCAGCATAGCAATGAAAGGTCTGTGTTACTCACTTTTGACTCTTTAGTGTCTTCCTCGTGCTTGATGCGCACTGCGTCCATCCGAAGAGCCACCTGTTCCCTCTCCGCCTTGAGCTGAAGGATATCTTCCCTCAGTTTCAGCTTCTCCCGTTGAATCAGGCGAACTCGTTTCCGTAGCGAATGCCAGTCATTGAGATGAGTAGTCTAATCATGTCAGCTTCAGTGCTCCCTAATCTGTAGAAGCAACTCACCAGCTGAAGTAGCTGCAACGTCAACTGCTCTCGATACGCATCAACAGCCCGTATCTTGATACGACACTCCTTCTTCTTCTCCTTGTCTTCTGTGCTGGTCATTGTCTCGTAAAGCTTGGCCAGCGTAGTCTCAACAACCTCCAAGCACACCTGCGCAAACACATCCACAACAGTTTCTTCCTGATTTTGGAACGGGACTTCGCTCGCGATAGGATCCTCCTTGCCATCGCCTTGTCGAAATTGCTTGGCGTTGACCCATCTCTGGACGGTAAGCTCAATGGCCGTTCCGTCACTGATTCGCCTGTCTTTGGTGGCTTGTTTCGTCTTGCGGGCCGCCCGTTTCGCTTTTGTCTTGGGCTCTGAATCGCGAGCCCTTGACCTTGTCCCAGTTTTCGGTTTCGTTGCTGGTTGTTTCTGTGTGGCAGGGCTTCTTGATGGTCGTCCACGACGTCGCTTTGGTGCTGGCTCTTCTTCCTCAGCCTCCTCCTCAACCACATCGGAGAGTTCCACTTCAGGGGAACGAGAAGGTAGACTTCTTCGAAGACGCTTCCTTCCAATGGCCTTGGCGGCCTCCACCTCGTCAATCTCCTCTGCCACAGCGTCTTCTGGTGCTTCCTCTTCTTCTCGAATTTCAGTCTCTTCGGGCACCTCGTCCTCTGCTACAGGTTCTTCCTCAGTCTCCTCAGCTTCGGGCGCTTCGACTTCGGCTTCGACTTCAGGCTCCTCCTCCACTGGGTTGGTGTCTGAGAGTTCATCGTCCGCAGGATTATAATCGGTTGGTCGGTCGGGCGAAAGCTCGTCCACATCCTCCTTCTCCGCAGCTCTTGAGCTCTGCCGCCGCATTCTCGCTCGGATAGAAGCAGCCCCTTCACTGCGCCGAACCTTGCGCACCAGAGGCGAGGACGAGGGCGGCACCTCTTCTTCCGTATAAAGTCCATCATGTAGTCGCGTAGTCGAAGATAGAGCATCGCTCATGCGCACGTTTCGTCTTCTATCTGGAGGACTGTGAGCCCCTTCCTGAGCGCCCTCTCTCGATGGTGGTATGGCTGGCGAGCCAGAGGCATTATCGTTTGGTAGGACTGGTAGCGCAACATCTGGTTCGTTGTCTTGAGGCTCCTCGGTCGGACTCGGTATCTGAGGCTCTGTCGCCTCTACATTCTCAACACTAGGTTCTTCTTCTTCCACCTCGGTCGCCTCTGCCGTAGTGACCTGCGCGGCTGATTCCTTAGAAGAGTCGGGTAGATCGTAGGGGTCTCTCGGTGCGGATCGCGGTGATCGTCTGCGCGCGCTTCCTGGCGGCTGTGCAGAAGGCGGTATGTCATTCTCTAATCTCTTCCTCTTGGCTGATGTGTTTGGTGTGCGACGCGCCGAGGGTGCTGGAGGCGCGGGCGCTGACGGAGCGGCGGGAGTCGATCCGGCGATGTTAAGGCCGGCGATGTCGAGATTGAAGGAATCGTCTTCGATAACGGCGCGTCTATGGTGATGTTAGTGTATAAATTGGCAATATTCGAGAACTGGCGAGTCGTACTGGGCGCCTCGAAGACGTTCGTTTAGCCGATCAGCACGGCGCTGCTGGCCTAGTTCATTGTTAGAAACAGTGCAAGTCAATGTTTGACAGCTCAGTGCGGGCTTACCTGTGGCCATTGTTGAGTAAAAAGCGGCCTGCGCTTCGACTTGCGCATGCGTACTTCTTAGGATAAATTTGGTAGAGACGATGCGCGAATGTGGTGTTGCGACCGAATTCTTGAGTGATGATGTAGGAGCAACGTTTGAGAGCTTGTGACGCGTGGGGCCAGACGCGTTTGGAGTCGCGGGGCATCAATTAACTGATCATGACCACTTTAGCCAAGCCATGATAAAACATTTGCAGTACATACATAGCAAATAAAACAAAATTATTGCTGTAATTTAGCAGTTTTAGTGCTAAAAGGAAGGGTCGTGGCTTTGGGTGAGCAGATACCTTGAATGCGGTCTCTGTTCATGTTAAGCGTCAAAGTAAAGAATACATGATGCAGTGTATACAGTAACCCTCTATTGCTTGGCCGGGTATCAATTAATTTACAGAGGCCTTTCTATGACCTCGTCCAAGGGATCTACCCATAGATTTTGTACAGTTTCCCATCTAAATTTGACCTCAACGCCCCTAAACACTTGGTGTTTGTGTAACCTCGCCTAGTTGATGGCAACCCATTCCATCTTCTTTGGATCAAACCTGTGACTGTTTGGTTGTCAGTAAATGAACCCAAATCAATCCTTCGAGAGAAAACATACTCGTGAAACTCTGTCTTTGACAAGGATGCTTTGCCATACTCGGAAGCGAGTATCTCCTTGTATCGATAGGGGATCTTGGCAGGGAGGCCTTCGAATGTCGTATCAAGCAAAGGGAACACATACTTGTCCTGTTACACAAGAGTTAGGGAATGCGCCATACAAGAAACAGAAATACAAACCTTGAACTCGTGATCGTGCTTGTCGTAGAGGACTCCTTCGCCTCTTATATGGCCAGGATCATACCTCGCCGCGGTAATGTCAATAAACAACCCAGTTTGCATGTCAATCCACCGAGCATCAATGACATTAAGACCGTCATCCCGACCACGGTGCTCAAAGTAGGGATTAATCTCAAGCTGAAAGAAGCGACCTTCGGGTGCGTTCTCGTATTGGTAGTAATAAACCGTCATGTTGTGATATGCGGCCAAGAAGTACATGTCCGCCTCGGTCACCTGGACATCGGCATCCAGGTCCCACGGCATGACCTAGCAATCGAGTCAGAGAACAGAGTGGACGACAGGTATGGCTTCTTACCTTTTTCCCCCACCACCAGCCAAGCAGAGAGCCGTGCATCAACCATGTCTGGACGCCGAGATCTCGAAAGGTGGCCAGATATGTCTGCATTAGAACTTTGATGCCTGCGTTTTGTGCGGCGAGCTCGAGGGGCTCATGCATATATCTCCCGTCATAGTGCGGATAGTATCTTGGCGCAGCATGGGTTAGCATGGACTTGTCGAATAACAGTATAAACTCACGCTGCCTCCTCTATAAAGTGGTCAGTCTTGGTTTTGGCATTTTAGGCCTCACGTATGCTCGTGGGTTCTTGTTTGAGACTTACTAAAGTACTTTGGAGGTGGAGGTAAAATACTTGGAAGTTTCTGCTCCAGTTGCTCAATCTTCTTCTCAAGAACGTCCGGAATGACCGAGGCGCTGGCAGAGGAAAGCCATGCGGCAAGGGCACAAACGGCCGATAACTTCATGCCCGGCGTAGAGAGGATCATTCAGAGGCCGCGACAGTACAAGACGTGCGAGCTGTTGAGATGAAGCAATGAAGCTGATGTTAACGTGGAAGGGGATGATAAGAGTCCGAAAGATCCGCAGGGGCACGTCACACACTCGCTACTGTAGCATCAATCGCAGCATCAACAAACGGCCGGCGAGGTTAAGAGATCAAAAGAAGTGAAAAGTATGGCGATCAAGTATAGAGGCCTAAAGAACAAACAAGACCTGCTCAATAATATGGCGCGTCAAAGAACAGCGTAAGGGCGCTCGACTCGCCTCCTGTGGAATTGTCCAGTCCCGCCCCAATATATTCAACCCCTGATTCCCTACAGTGCGGCCACATCCCGTCCCTGGTAGCCAGCCGCGTCACCTGTAAACGCATTCACAGTGGGTTCAAACGTTTTCGACATCAATGAAGCTATTCAGACACTGGTATATACATTCCACTTAGACACAATTAAGATAGTGTGCACTCCTCGTATAATTAAAGATCCTACTCAAATAACCTTAACCAGACTTGACTTGAAGAGTGCCCTTGTTACGAGCGAGCCAACCGCCAGTCGCTTCTCACGCCAAGCCCCCACTTCCCCGTGGCGCAGCAGAATCCCGCTCGTGCATGCTGTGGCTAGTGAGGCTAACCCTCAAATGGGCAGCTGACTGACGCAAGCTCAGCCCCAGCTCCTCCTCCATCATCGCATCGTGGAGAGCTGCCTAGGCAAGCAACTTGTCTTCTTCTTCTTCTTCAACTTTGGATCTTTGTCACGTTGTCAATCCCTCTTCGCAGGCGATCCTAGCTGCTTGTGCTAGATTGCTTCTTCGAGTTCTGTATACTTACCGTTAGCAGGTCCTTCTAGTCCAGCAAGGCCAGGTCTTAGCGACTCCTATTCGTCACTCCCTTGCTCCCCTCAATATCACCATCAGCTTGAGTCTGCTTGATTGAGCAACCCGCCATTCACAATGGGCGCGTGGAACGTACGTCGCCAACCTCTGAAACATGTACTTCCCATTCTCTTGATTGCAGACTGACACCTGTTGTAGCTCTTCCGTATCTTGGGCGACTTGTCCCACGCCCTCTCCAAATGCATCCTCATCTTCGCCATCCACCGCAACCGCAGCGCCGAGGGTGTCTCTCTCATCACCCAGATCCTTTACGCGCTGGTGTTTTGCACCCGCTACCTCGACATCTTTTCCGAAAAGTTCCCATGGAACTTGATCTTCAAGATCTTCTACATCACATCGTCCTTTTACATCCTCGGTATAATGCAATGGATCTATCCTCGATCGCGCGAGAAGGAGATTGCCTGGAAGATCGGTGCCATCATTCTTGGTGGCTCTTTCGTGCTGTCGCCTTTTGTGATGCTGATCTTTGAGAGATCCAAGGGCTTCCTGACTGTAAGTCTACTAACTCCGTGATCATGAAACCGTCGCTGACTCTCCTCTCCTCCAGTGGATGTGGGTCTTTTCCCAGATTCTCGAGTCCGTCTGTGTCCTCCCCCAGCTTCTACTCCTCAGGCAGACGACTGTGCCTACCGTTATCGACTCGTTCTACCTCCTCGCCCTCGGCTCGTACCGCGCCCTCTACTGCATCAACTGGTTCCTCCGCGAATTCGAGGTTACCGGAAAGAAGCCCAACACCGTCTCCGTCATCTTTGGCATAATTCAGACCGCCCTGTACATCGACTTTGCCTGGGTATACTACACCCGCCAGCGCGTCAAGCTCCGTGGCGGTGGTATTGTTGACGCCGACGATATGCGCCGTGGCTGGCTCCTTCGTCGCATTTTTGGCAAGCGCTTCGAGACCTCGGAGGATGACGAGGAGAGCGGTCCCGCCTTCGACGATGACGATACCGGCGCCCGCCGTAGCGCCCGGCCCAAGTGGGGAGCTCGGGGCATCTCTGTCAGCGCCGACGACGGTGTTTTCGAGCAGGAACGACACAACCGTGAGCAGGACGAGCTCGGTGGACCTGTCGACCCGGATGCCAAGATGCAGGACCCTGACGAGCTTGCGCGAGCTCTGGATGATGATGACGATGAGCAGACCCCGCTGCGCCCCGGTCAATCAGAAGGCCAGCCAAGTGGGCTTCGAGGTGGCGAGGAGTGGCGCGACTAAGCTCGCAAGCTGATTCTCTGCCCTTTTTCATTTTGGGAGATTTCACGGTTCAGAGTATAAGGCTGAGACGGAGTATGACGGGTTATTTGTTTGGGACTGTTTGGAAGGTATACAATATCTACTTGGGCTGCCACTTTGGGAAACACGACACCATGCTAGGGCTGCTGTAGAAGAGACGGAAGAGGAGGTCCTTGCTGTGGCATCCATTGTAAGCAAGGTGGACTGTGGAACGCAAGGGAGAGGGACATCAGGGGATTTCATTATTCTGGGCTCAACGTGTATCGATAGCGCAATGCTTTTAACGAGAATCTCAAAGCGAGATGAACTGGAAATCAATCACTCAGAATCACGTTATCATTCTCAAGACAAGGACACAGGGCGGTTGATCATATCATTGACGCAGAGAGCGAGGGCCAGCATTTGTACATTTTGCCCTCGAAATCCGTTTCGTTCGCTAAACCAACCCACACTTTTGTCAAAGGGGAATCGTTCGTTATATACATCCACACAAACAGGCTCTTGTAGAGCACTTGTCCCATCAATACGCGCCATGTGCCAGTGATGTCTATCCGACAGACTGGTCTTGTTGCAACTCCACCAGCAGCATCCAGAAAGCTGCAATAAACTCCAGAACAGAACAAAAAGCTATAGAATAAACAGATACATCCAAAAACGTGCAGTAGAAATAATAATGGGGCGTCTTGAAGGCGCTGGGTATCCTTTCAATAGACAAAACCACTTAGTCGACAAAGCGCTTCTCAAACTCGTGGAACAGCTTGGGGCTGATCTCGTCGCTGCTCATGCCCTCAATCTCGACGAGAACGCCCTTCTGGGCGTAGTGGTTGAGAACAGGCTCGCTCGTCTCCTGGAACTTCTTGAAACGAGCGCGATAGACTTCCTCCGAGTCATCAGCGCGCTGGATGAGAGGCTCTCCAGTAACATCGTCAATTCCAGGAACGCGAGGCGCATTGAAGGAAGTGTTGTAGACTCGGCCCGAAGGCTCGTGAACCCAGCGACCAGCGATTCGCTCCAGGATAACAGATACAGGTGTCTTGAGGGAAACGACAAGGTTGATGGGGATGAGCTTGTCGAGAGGAGTAGCCTGGGCGGCTGTTCGGGGGAAACCGTCGAGGATAAAGGAGGCGTTGGGGTCTTCGGAAACTCGTGGTGGGACATGTTGGTCAAAGAGGGAGGGATTGCTGATGAATGAGTCCACAGGAGGGGCCCCATCGTACGAATGTTGGCCCATTGCGGTCGCCTCGGAGGCGAGGGTCATGACGGGTCCTCGACTAGCCAGCCATCCTCGAGTATAGAGTTCGTTGGAGATGAGTCGCAAGATGAGATCGTCGGCGACGAGACCACCAGACTTCATTGTCGTCTCGACCTTGATGCCTGCGATTGTGAAAGTTAGCATTGACATGGGGAGGTAGGGTTGGGATGCTGACGACGTACCGAGAGGTGTCCTTTCCTTGACATTTCGACGGAGGAGATCGCCAGTACTGACAGAGTTGAGTTGAGGGAAGCGCGCGAGCAACCGCTCGCTCTGGGTTCCTTTACCAACGCCAGGTGCACCAAAGAGAATAACTCGAGCCGCCTTGTTCAGTCTCATTCTAGGCGTTCTGGAACGTTTTCGACCGGCGCGAGATGTACAAAAAAATTTGGTTGATGCCTATTCAATTGCGAAGAAGATGGATTCGTCTAGGTACAGTTTCGAAGAGGTTGGATGCAGTCTGGTGGGTTCCAAGGATACTGTCGGCTTTTCGTTGAGGGGAGTGCGTGCTTCGGTGCAAAGATAGCGCGGGGAGTTGTTGAGAGGGTGTCAAGGGTGGGTGTTTAAATTGCTGTCGAGAACAGGATGACGGGGATTCGAACAGGCCAAACTAAGGAATAAAGGGATGCCCCAAAAACGATCGTACACAACGATGATGACAAAAAGATCAAGAGGAAACTAGGAGCTTAGGTTGGGAACAGAGCAAGTTATCGAAGGAAAAAGGTGGGAGGTGGGGGGGCGGAAAGCACGGGCTGGCGTGGTGTTGAGTCGATTTGTTTTGGCTTTGAGTGAGTGGTAAGGCGGTACCTGCCGACGCGCGTGGTCTTTCCCTGCGACACATGTACCGGCCGATGACGGATGATGGGGCATGGACATGCACCGTGGCGTGGAACGTGCGCAGCAGGAACGGTCAGGGTGGGCAAGGACCAACACATCCATCCTTCCCTGCCGGTCCGGGGCATGGACTCGTTCCGTCTCTTGCCGTTCAAGCGTCTACCTAGAGCCCAGAGTTTCTAAGCAGCCAAGAAAGTCAGCCCAAGATCAGGGCCTAGATCTATTTCTAGACATAGATATTGGATCCAAGACGTCTTCCAGAAAAAAGGTTCAACCGTTGCAAATCCCCCTTCCCCCTCCCCTCGTGTCCAAAATCCGGGGGTTTCCGGGGAAGATATGAGACGGTGCTAAGGATCGGCACCTTTGCGTTAAGTCCGGGGTCGTCCCCAAGTCCAAAGAGAGGAGGGGAAAACGTGCGCCCCCGGCACAAAGGGCATCGGAAACAATCCGATACTCGAAGCACGAGCTGGGCTGGGCTGTCGGCAAGCAGGTCCCGTTTGACAGGCGGCATGTGAATCTATGCGGTGCCACTGGGCCGTTCATCCGTGGGCAAACGCTTGGTACTTCTCCCGCTGTCCGATCATCCCAAGGCATTGCGGTTCTCGCGCCCTCGGGCAGAGGTATCATCGGCATATCCTGAGAGCGTCGTTTAGCAACCTTTTGATGGCTTTTTGCTTTATAAACGGCATTCCAGCATGGTACCCTGAAACATGAAGGATTTCTGTGAGCCAATCACCTCGCGTCAATTTGATTTCCAAGCACTGGCGCATCGGACAAGCCCCCCGAACCTTGTGAGGTGAAAGTCTCGGTGGCACCGGCAGTGTGGAGAGTTCAGATCGGTTGCTGAAGAACGCCAAGGGTGATAGGCAATGTCGTAGCTTAGAATATCACAAAAAGCTCCGACCAAGTAGTAAAGTTCTAAACTTATGAATAATTATCCTATGATGTCACTAGCATTTCTATATCGCGGAACAAAGCAACGCGCTGTGGTATTCTCATCAAATTGCTAAGCGCTGTGCCTTGGACACCATTTGACTCCTCAGTGCCAGCATCTGATGAGAACACCCCAACCTCTCATTTCATAAAAAGATATTCTGAGAAAGCATGGCGATTTTTTTGGTGTTTTTCACTTTTCTCCCGATATTTTATTTGTTTACATTGTTCAAGAAGCGCTGGCATCCCCTGAACTGTCCATTGCGCAGTCAAGGACTCGAAGCCAAGCAGATCAGTGACCACTTGAGTGTTGTTGAGCGACCAAGGATTTGCTCACACAAACTTTTACCGCATAAGACTAGTCATCTCATATAATAAGTGCAAATATATACAAAAATAGATACTCAAATATAATTCAAGTCTCTGAATGCATTAACAAAGTAGGTGCATACACTCAGCTTTTGTCACATGGCATTCACCACCATCTGCCTACCCTAGTCCTCCAAGCCACTTTTCCAAGACAATCAAAGCATAACCTTTGCCGATCATGCCAAGACAAGAAATATCTATCACTGCGATAAGTTTATCTTAGGCTTGGGTCTATTAAATCCACGCCGTTACCGAACGGAGGTGTCCATTGATGTGTTATGGTTTGCGTGCTCCCCTGCTGTAATCTTAGGTCCTCGCTCCGCCAACCAGGGCAGGATGGATTGTGTTCAATAAGTTCTAAAAGATCCTGCGGTAGCCATGCACATGAAACAATTTTGTTTCCATGGATTTCCCATACTTATTCTACGACCGCTACACCAAACAGTCTCGCCTAGGCGCATGGTGGAGAACAGGTACGCGAGCTTCGCTGCCAATCCCCGGAATCCAAATAAGCTTATCTTTGAGCTTAACCTTTGACCTCTATCACTGCTCCCACACCGTTGGCAATCGGCGATATATCTAAATATGATACGGATAAAAACCTTATCGCCAGTTGTACATGTGTTTGCGATAACCTGATTGGCACTGCTTACTCGTCGTCCGATAGTACACGTCTATATGCATGTGAGAAAACCCAGCAGAGAGGTTCATCCATGCCCACGGGCTCTCTTATGTCTGTTTCCATAGTAAATGAAACACACTCAGACCCGAGAACAGCACAAGAGACGTTTACTCTCACGGGCTTGAGCGTGCCAAAATCTCCTACTTTACCTCGGCAGCTCAGCTCAGGAGCTCAGCATCACTCGAGCAAGTACTTACTCAACATCAGCAGGTACTCGTTCTGCAATTTCTTCCAACCTCGTGCACTTGGAAACCCAGGGAAGAAAAAACCCTTGTCAACTGCCGAGACACAGTCCCGAGGTGTCCGACCACCTAGGGTAGTAGTGCGGGATCGGCGGAGCTGTATCCATTTTGACCCAAGTCAAACCATACATCATGCTATGGAACCCAACAGCCCTCGTTCGCCGACCTTGCGCTTAAGAGTACCCATTGCGGAATTAAACAAAAGACTTCATAATGGTCCAGTTATGACTGCCAAAGCTCATGTCAACTGGCTGTAGATACGCCGGCTTGGCTCTTGATGCTGAATCCACTATCCCACCAACACCGCTTCTCTGCTCGTATTGTTCTTCTCTTGAACCGCGTGGCATCCAGAGTCATGGGATTTGCGAAAAGGGCCGAAACACAACGGCCTCCCCGCACGTTTATACCAGGATTCTTCATGATCCACGCGGGTCCCCAGATTTACACCCCCGCGTTGCACTCACCTGTCATGAATGGTCCGGGGGGACGTCATGTATTTGGGTTCTTTACCCAGCACGGTGGGTTTTGGTCATTCGCTCTTATTGAACTCGGGACTCTGATGTTGGAAAATGCCACCACTAATGCAGCTTGGGGTCGAATGGTCGGTCCGAATGCCTCGTTGGAACTGCGGGAACGGTTTCCCGAAGTGTTGACGATAGGATGATCACGCTTCAACTTCGGAAGAGACGATGCAGTGTATTAGATGAAGTTGAAGTTTACGGTTGATCTATAAAAGCGAGTCAGAGTCTTGTTCTTGTGGTGGTCATCATGGTTGTTCCAAAGTGACTTGGGCGCTATCTACGAAATCAAAAGAGTCTATCATCACCATGTGGTCTCATCTAGTTCTCCTTGGAGGCATCTCACTGGCTCTTACTAGCCCAGTCGCTCGTCAAGATGCAAACCCTCCTCCATACCGAAACACATCTCTCTGCTTAGACAAGCGTGTGGATGACCTCCTCTCTCGCATGTCCCTTGAGGAAAAGGCAGGACAGATGTTTCATGCCCGTACTCAGGTTGTCAACAACACATTCGACGAGACCATTGAGGGCTATGTCAAGGACAAGCGCATAACTCACTACGTCTTGAGTGGAGGTGTCAACGATGCCCGCGCTGTGGCAAACTGGTACAACAAGCTCCAGAAACTAGCTCAAGATACATCTCTGGGCATCCCTATCACCATCTCTTCCGACCCTCAGCACGGCTGGACGGATGATGCTGCGGTGTCGGTTGTAGCCAACGGCTTCTCTCGATGGACCGAACCTCTTGGCATTGCTGCCCTTCGATCTCCTCAGCTGGCTCGCACCTTTGCTGAAATTGCCCGAGAGGAGTATGTTTCTGTGGGAATCCGTCAGGCCCTTCATCCTCAGGTGGATCTCTCGACTGAGCCTCGATGGGGTCGAATTGGTGGTACCCTGGGTGAAGACGCCAACTTGACAAGTGCCCTGCTTGTCGAATACATCAAGGGCTTTCAGGGCGAAAAGATTGGACCTCACTCGGTCATTGCTACAACGAAGCATTTCCCCGGTGGTGGTCCTATGGAGGACGGAGAGGACTCTCACTTCCCTTGGGTATGTAACACCTATCAACCAACTATGGACAATTTTCTAATGTTGATAACATGTAGGGCAAGAACCAAACGTATCCTGGTAACAACCAGGCTTATCACTTGATCCCCTTCAAGGCGGCAATTGCTGCCGGCACAAGGCAGATGATGCCCTACTACTCAAGGCCCATCGGAACTTCATGGGAAGAGGTTGCCTTTGGATTTAATAAGGGCGTTGTCACAGACCTCCTCAAGAACCAACTTGGCTTTGAGGGTATCGTCGTTACAGATTGGGGTATCGTCACCGACCGAGCTTGGGGTCTGGAGGACAAGTCCGAGCTTGAGCGTGCCCGTCGTGTCATTGAGGCCGGCTGTGATATCTTTGGTGGTGAGACAAAGCCTGAGCTGGTTATTGAGCTGGTCAAGAAGGGCTTGGTATCTGAGGATCGCATCAACGAGTCGGTCCGCAAGCTGATGAAGGAAAAGTTTGAGTTGGGACTCTTTGACAATCCCTTTGTGGATGCCGACAATGCTGCGCGCGTGGCTGGCAACCCTTACTTCAGCCGTCTGGGCAACGAGACACAGCGTCGGGCTTTCACTCTACTCACTAACCAGAACGACATCCTGCCTCTACCTCTGTCGGCGCTCGAGGCCAAGTTCTACATCGAAGGCATTGAACCTGAGGCTCTGGAGTCGCGAAACCTCAAGGTGGTGGACAAGCCAGAGGATGCAGACTACGCATTCCTCCGTCTCGCGTCACCTTACAAGCCTACCACTGGCACTGGCCTTGCGGCGATGATCAACAATGGCACACTCGAGTTCAACTCGACCGAAAAGGCGCGTCAAGCCAAGATCTACGAGACTGTCCCGACTGTCGTGGACATTAGACTCAACCGACCTGCTGCTGTGCCCGAAATTGCAGAGAAGGCGGCGGCGCTATTTGGCAATTACGGAAGCAGCCACGATGCGTTCCTGGATGTCGTGTTTGGCGTTGACGGCTGGGCTCCTGAAGGACAATTGCCATTTGACCTTCCGCGATCCGATGCTGCGGCGGAGGCGGCCTTTGAGGATGTGCCGTTTGATACGCTGAACCCAGTGTTTAGATTTGGACATGGATTGAGGTATAAGGAGGAGTGCAAAGCAGCTGGAGCGTGAAATAGTGAGATGTAGATAAATGAATGAGATGAGACTCGATAGTCGAGATGAGACCAATTAGCGGGAGATAAGACACAGGAGGCGGGCTTATGACGGTGGCATTACTTCTAGCGTACATATTAGACGAGAAATGTAGTTTCAATTTTACTGAATTCGTTGCCAAGTCAACTAGGAATGGCCATTGCTCTGTAACTATAGTCTGTCGAATTGACTGAGCATCTGGTTGCGCAAGATCCTCTGGGACAGCGGGAACAGACTAGGCAACGGGGAAATTGACAAGGTCCCACAGACACGTGTTAGATCATAGGTACTGGTACGCTGCAGTTGGAGTGGGATGAACAAGTCAATGGGTGTAGCGACACGGGGCGACGTTCTTGGCTATAAACGCGAAAGATGGTGTAGACGGCGTCGCAAAGCATCTGCATGCACGTTTTGGCGTGTGTGAATGCGGTTGGTGAAGATGCAACAAGAAGAGCATCAGCCTCAAAGATTATACGTGGATGGCTTCAATCAAGTACACGACGCAACCAATGCCCAAATGTCTCATGACCTCTGGGCTTCCATGCCAGCTCAGACACACCAGAAGCAGCCCATGACATGGACGAGGTGAGACAAGCGATGAAGCCACCAGGCAACCAATCCCAATTGACTGGGGAAGTGACAGCTCAGCAGGAGCAGCTGACAAAGGAAAGGGAAATCTGCATAAAAAACTAAACTCGGCAAATATCTTCGGAGATATGGCGGAGTTCTTGTCTCTTCTCGTCTGTTGAGAGCTGGCCTTGACCCGTAAATTTCACATGCAGGGGATTTGTCTTCTTTTGTTGAGGGGGAGAACGGGACTCCCGGCAAGACACGTGACGGTTGCTCCTTCATCTCTGCTGACGCAAGCACAAGTCAAGGGCAGGGATTGGACGTTGACGACCCGAGATGTGACCCTTGAGAGCGAGAACGGGGAGGCAAAGATAGATTGAGGGGGTTCCTTCGGGGCCGCGACCGGAAAAACAATTTCTACGGATGCGGCGAACCCCGGCTCGCCTGTCGGATAACGGAACGCCAGCTCTTCCGCCCGGCTGGGCTTAGCACGGGATGGGGGAGATCCAATCCAATATCTCGTAACCACCACTACCACTACCACCACCTTGAGAACTTAGACTGCGCATCCACTCTGTCCCTCCTTCATCTTCATCGTCTTTAACAACTTAGATTGTGCCATCGTTTTTCTACCCCAAGCGAGATCGATCGAATTCAGCCCTTCGCTTCGTTTCGCAATCCAGATTCTTTCCAACACTTCGGCTCGCTATGAGCGCTTCCTCCAACGTCGCTCGCAGGGCCGTTGCCCGGAACCCCTTGTTGGGTAATGGTGAGCAGCTACCTTATCGGCTTCGCAGCCGGTCATCATCACCATTGAGGTTGTTGTACTGACTTTTGTTACAGCCAGGGCTCTCTCTCGCGGTGTTACTCCCGCTATCCTCGGTCGCCATGTCAGCCGCCACGCAAAGGTTCCGGCCATTGCCATTTTGATCCCGCTCCGATCAATGGGCACCGAGCACCATCGCCCCGACGGTCCCCTTTCCGGCCCGCCTCCTGGATTCAACGCCGAGATGGCTAAGAAGCCTCTTCCGAAGGATCCCAGCAGTACAACCGCCAAGAAGGAGGAGAAGAAACTTGATGCCCAGCCCAAGGAGTCCGCAGTTGCAAAGTCCTCGGAAGCTTCAGCCGAGGCGACCAAGACAGAGGTTGTTGCAACCAAGGAGGGTGTCATGGAGAAGGCAGATGCCGCCAAGAAGGACCAAGAGGAGAAGAAGTTGACTGTGTGGCAAAAGGTCAAGAAGGAGGCCCAACACTACTGGGACGGATCCAAGCTGCTCGGCACCGAGATCAAGATCAGCTGGCGATTGGCCCTCAAGATGGCCGCTGGATACGAGCTCACCCGTCGCGAGAACAAGCAGCTGCAGCGAACAGTCCAGGACCTGGGTCGGTTAGTGCCCTTTTCCGTCTTCATTATCGTCCCTCTCGGTGAGGCGCTTCTGCCCCTCGCTCTCAAGCTCTTCCCCAACATGCTCCCCAGCACGTTCGAGGGTGCCAAGTCCAAGGAGGCCAAGGCCACTCTTTTGCGATCGACACGAAAGGAAGTCAGCACTTTCCTTCGACAGACACTCGGAGAGACGGGTCTGCCTCTGAGCCAGGCTACAACACAAAGAGAAGAGTTTTCCAACTTTTTCCGCAAGGTGCGGGCCACCGGCGAGGCTCCTACTGCCGAGGATGTCATCAAGGTCTGCAAGGTGTTCCGGGATGATTTGACCCTCGACAACTTGTCACGACCCCAGCTGGTTTCCATGTGCCGATACATGAACCTCAACACATTCGGAACCGACATGATGCTCCGATACCAGATCCGTCACCGTATGCGACAGATCAAGCGAGACGACAAGGCCATCAGCTTTGAGGGCGTTGACAGCCTGACTGTGGCCGAGCTCCAAGGTGCTTGCGCTGCCCGAGGTATCCGAACACACAGCGTTTCCCCCGCCCGGATGCGAAACGATCTCCAGACCTGGCTCGACCTCCGACTTAAGGAGGGTGTTCCCTCAACACTGCTCGTGCTGAGCAACGCCTACATGTACGGTCAGGGTTCAGGTGAGGGCTCCAGCCAGATTGAGGCACTTGTCGGTGTCCTGTCGGCCATCCCCGAGGAGCTTTACCACGAGATTGAGCTCGAGGTTCACACCGCCGAGGGTGCGGCTACCAACAAGCAGAGACTCGAGGTTATCAAGGAGCAGCAGGATCTTATCGAGGATGAGGCTGAGCAAGACCATGCCAGCACAAGCTCTGGCTTTGCCACGCCTCGAGATGTTGATGATATTGATGAGAAGGAGGAGAGACAAGCTCTTGCTGAGGCCGAGGGCCTAGGCAAGAAGCAAGTTGGTGAGATGGTGGAGGCGGAGAAGGAGTTGAACAAGGCTGCTGAGACGGCCGAGATTATGGAGGCTGAGATCAAAGCGAGCGCTGGCGCGGCGAAGCAGGAGCAGAAGTGAGAGGCAGGCCACGGAGCCGGCTCATGTACCACGAACACTTGAACTTGGGATTGGGAGTTGTTTCATATGTATGACTGTATGGTATGGCATCAAGGGCGGGATGGATGGGAACAATGGCGCTGTATCAAAACGGACTCCCCGAGAGGGTCCGCAAGAGATTACTACTACTACTGGGATAGACAACTCTCGACACAGGAAAGCAATAGATTCCACTGATATTTTTTTTTGTACATATGTGGACATAGTCTAGATTGGATGAATACCACCGAGAGTCTATGATTGAGTGCATCTTGGTGCATGTGAAGCTGAATGGCAAGGGGAGCAAAGTGGGAGCCTGAGATGGAGCCGGCTGCGTCATCGTGGCCCAGCCTCAGTTGTGTAGATCACTGGTAGGGAGTACTTGGGGAGGGAGAGTTGAGCGTTGAATAGGCTACGGATGGCTCTTTTTGAATGGATTTCAAACTACTAACATGATTAAAAGATTCTAATAAGTACAAAAGTGATTCGATTTGATCCTAATACCCCATATTGACGCACTTAATCACTGTCTCCCCAACCCTCCCAAGTCTTCTCCATCTTGACCTGGTCCCTGCGCCACATACCAGCTCCCCACACTCACTTACGACCTCTCGAGCTTCAACCTCCCGCCAACTCCGCCCGCGTCAAACCCTCAGCCTCTCTCAACCTGCAGCCTCGCGATCGTTTTATCTTTACCTTTTCCTCTATCTCTCTCCCCGCGCGAGTATCGACAACGTCCCGCGACTTCGCCCGTACCCCGAAATCCTTGATAGCCGACGGCCCCGCTCTGCCCGCACCCCCCGGTCCTCAATGACGGCCATGGAGCAAGACGACTTCTCTAATGTCTCGTGGAGCGACCACGTACATGATCAGACTTCGAGGCCTATTCCGCCTGCTGAGCAGCCTGGACATGATATGAATGGACCTGGTACTGGCCTTGAGGCTGATGCCCCTTCGCTGGGTAACGAGAGGCTCGAGTGCACTGTCGGCACTCCCATCAAGGAGAATGACGGCACCAAGGACGCATTCGTATCGTATCTGATCACCACCAACGTGTGTATCCCCATTACCTCGAGTATCCTTCCAGATGCTAACAGCGATAGTCTACCTTCTCCTCTTTCCAGCGCTCCAACACCACCGTCCGCCGACGCTTCACCGACTTCGTCTTCCTCTACAAGCAGCTCACCCGCGACTTTCCCGCCGCCGCGGTGCCCCCTCTGCCCGACAAGCAGCGCATGGAGTACGTCCGCGGCGACCGCTTCGGCTCCGACTTTACCGCCCGCCGCGCAAACTCCCTCCAGCGCTTCCTCGTCCGCCTGTCTCTCCACCCCACGCTGCGCCGCGCCCCGATTCTACACGTCTTCCTCGAGAGCCCTGACTGGAACGCCACCATGCGCAGTCGGGGCGCGAGGACTAGCTCTACGAGCGATGCTGGATCTACCGGCGTGTTTGATAACTTTGCCGATACCTTTATTAATGCCTTTACCAAGGTCCATCGCCCGGATCGCCGGTTTATCGAGGTCAAGGATAAGAGCGACAAGTTGGATGATGACCTTGGACATATTGAAAAGGTCATTGCGCGTGTGGCCCGTCGCGAGACAGATCTTGAGGTTGATCTGCGCGACCTCGCTGAGCAGTTCCAGAAGCTCATTCCTCTTGAGCCTCATGTCGAGCCCGCTGTCCATGCTTTTGCTGCTTCAATCGAAGATACGGCAACTCACCTCCGGGAACTGAAGGACGTTACAGACCAGGATTATCTCGGTTCTCTCCGGGATATGCAGGCTTACTCAATGGCTCTGAAGGGGCTTCTCAAGGCCCGTGAGCAGAAGCAGCTCGACTACGAGCAACTGACAGAGTACCTCAACAAGTCGACTACAGAGCGCGATACGCTACAGTCTGGCCACGGCTCTGGAGGTGGAGCAGGTGGATTCCTCCGAGCCAAGATCGAAGACGTTCGCGGCGTGGATCACGAGCAGGCCCGACGGGAGCGTGCTCGCAAGCTGGAGCTGCGGGTAGAGGAGCTCACCCATGAAGTAGAGAGCGCGCGCAAGACGAGCGACATGTTTGACGACGAGGTAGTCAAGGAGGTGGCCGACTTTGAGCGTATCAAGCGTATCGAGATGAAGTCGCAGCTGGGTGGTCTGGCCGACGCCCACGTCGAGTTCTACGGTCACGTCGCCGACATTTGGGAAAAGTACGTCCAGGAGATGGAGAAGGATGGCGGTGCCGTGAGGCCATGAAGAGTTGGGACTTTTTATCTTGTGCGGGCTTGAGGCGTTTAATGGGACTTGGGCGTTTCGGGATGAAGACGAGGTTAGTTGGTGAGGTAGCTAGCCGTGATATCAAGACACTTTGAACGAGACACGACGCAAACTGGGTTGACGCTGTTGTATTTATGTTGTTGTTGACGCTATTATAGCGATGTTGTAGAAATGTTGTAGAGATGCTGTAATGATGTTGATAAAAATATCAACCATGGCGGGCGCGCACCACCGCCGTCCACAACGGCAAACCGGCATACATCAGCAGCAAGGCAACTACCACCACCACCACGGACCACCACAACCACGCCGGACCAGACCCAACCCGCAGAGACGCCTCCCAGCCCTCCCCTGGAATTGTCACGACTTCGAGCTGGAGGAAGAACGGCTCAGCTATGTTGTCCGGGTCCGACCCGCGGCCCCTGGTCACCCCTTCCACTGAGCTTCTGCCGGACGGAGGTCATCGTCAGTGAGTTCACAAAGGGTAACATCGGATGGGCTGACTTACTGAGTGGCCTGGGGTGACCGAACGGCCGACCTGGGGTCGGAACTGGGCCGTCCTCCAGCCTCGACGTCGTATTGAGGGGAGGAGCGGGAGGCGTGCGGGTCCGGGTCTGGTGAGTCTTCGGGCCGTGGTTGTGGTGGTGGTGATGTTGTCAGTGGTGGTGGTAGTTGGCCTTGCTGCGGCCGTCGGCAGACGTAACGAAAGTAAAAAATGCGTCTAATGATACAAGTTAGTATGGACAGTGAATCACGGAGTGAACTGTCGTGAATTGGACGGAAGATACTTACACGGCCATGTTGATCGTATACTTGAGGAGAAAAGAAAGAAAAGAAGAGAAGAGGAAGATGAGAAAGATCATAATTACAACGATGAGGACGAACGAGAATGAGAGGAAAGTGCAATAGGGGTCAGTTTGAGGATGAAGAAAGTGCCAAGAGGGCAACTGTATAGACATGAGGAAGGTGATAGGCCTTCAGAGCAATGAGAATCGGATTTGCCAAGGTATCTACGCCGAGGTGGGTGGTTCAGTCACTTCTGTTGCCATCGAGTCAGGGGGAATGTTGGGAAAAGTAGGACTTCGGGTTGTTGGTATATCCGAATCAAGATATCTTGACAAGCAACCACCGTCTTGTTCACTGCTGACGTCCTTCAATCCCACCACGCGTCAATCATTGAGTCTCCATACTCCGAATCTGAAAAGCCATTCAGCCCTTCCTCCTCCCAAGCTGAAAAGCTGTCTGGCTCTTCCTCCTCCCACTTGGTCTCCTCTCCCTCGTTGATTCCTCCCTCATCCTTCAACACTTCCTCTCCTTCCTCAGTCTCTTTTCGCTCCTCCTCCTCCTCTTGATCACCATCCTCGCCTTCCCGCTTCGACACTTCCGAATCTTTCACTCCCTCTTCCTTTCTGGGGAATGGCCAGAGTCCCCTCATGGGCATGTCGTCATATATGTAATTCGCGTTTTTCTCTGGGTTGGACATGTCGTAGTAGTATACCGTATTCCCATCACTATTCGAGACCTTGGCGTTATGCACCTTGTCTGCTGAAAGATGCTGAATCCGAAAATCCCTGACTGCCTCGTAATTCCATGAGGCGACAGAGAGCTTGCCTGACCAATTTGGATCGACTATGGTGAAATAGCGGCGAAGGAAGTAGCGCTTTCTCTCTTCTGAATAGTCCTTATGAACGTAGTTCTCAAGCACTTGAACATTCTCTTGGGTCAAGTAGAGGCCGTCATGCATGAGACTGGGAAGGTCCGAGGTGACAAGGTCCAGGTGAGCAGTCCAGTCCTCGGGTTTGTCCCCCAGTGAGTCACTCAGCAGGTTTTCGGGGTCTGAAGAAAGCCAGAACTGTAGTTGCCACTCCTTGCCCGAAGGTGATTTATGGGGGGCTGGAAGGTCAGTAATCGTTTGGATCTGGGGGAAAAGACTCGACTTACCACGGGTACGGGTGGTGCAGGACTGAAACATGGCCTTGAAGAATTCCATTGCGATTATGATTGTTGTTGACGGGTTGTTGATTCTAGCGAGCTGAGATGAAAAGATGATGTATGGTGGAATGTTGGCTGATCAGAACTAAAGGAGACGGGCTGATTATTTATACCAAAAGCGCGGCATACTGACTGTAAGCTTGTGTGTCTCAACAAACCTTTTTTACTACGGACTGTTTACTTATTGTGAGGCGGAAGAAGACTTTATTTCGATAGGAAACCTTGAGCAAAGTTGTGGAAAAGGTGCATGTTGAAAGTCAGAATCAGATCGGCGCATTGGGCATGATGGCTTGACTGCCACGACTGTGTAAAACTGTATCTATTTGACTGAGTTGCCTTGATCTACCCTCTGGGTGTGCTCTGAGGTTAAATTACTTTTCAAGAATCAGATCGGCCGAGTTAGTACGTTAGGTTTCCCATGCCAGGGGCTGAAGCCGAGGAGCAGTGAGATACTCTCTTTTCAAAGGTTTAGGTCTGCCTAGTCAAGAGAAAAGCTAAATCTAATAAAAGTTTTTGAGTATGAACGCTATGAGTTTGTATATGCTACATCAAATAATGATAATGGTAGTCAGAGAATCAAGGGATTTTTGCCGAGACGTCTTGACTTGATTTTGTCGATTACATTCCGCCCTACCTTTCTCCCTGAAAAGAACATGCTTGCTAACACCGTGCCGATTATGATGGGCCAGAAAGACCAAAGCTCATATCATAGTTGAAAAAGAAATCGCCCGCCAAATCAGAAAAGAGATTATCAACGCCCGGCATCTGGCCTGTCGTGTCCATGCTCGGATCCATTTCAAGGCCTGTTCCAATCCCTGCCTCCCCTGGGGCAATAGGCTTGAGTGTTTGTGCCATCCTCTCAAGGCCACTAATCATTAAGTTGGCTAGATGCCATTTTCCTGCTGGTTGTGACCGAAATTGTTGTACAAGACCTGTGATTAGATCATACACCTTTTCTTTCTCAATCAGATCGTCGTATTTAGTTGCGACCTTGGTGAGAAACATGGAAGCGAATGCCGTCATGGAGTGGACGTATGATGGCATGCCGACAATGCCCAGGGCGACATCGGGATCGTTTATGAACTTGTCGATGATTGTTGTCGCAGTTGAGATAGCGTTGAGGGCACAATCGAGAAAGTAGTGTGGGACGGGATCGTTTTTGGATAAGCCGCGGAAGACGTGGGAGTAGAGGTAGAGTTGAGCAAAGTTGTAGTGGAGGATGATGCCTTTTCGAGGGAAGCCCCCGATGCCAGGCCATTGTTCTACACTCTCTGTCAGTGATAACTCCGGAGGACTATATCAGAAAGAAATCTCACCTTGGACCTGTTTTGTCCAAAAGTCAAACCACTGATCAAGCTGCTTTCGAAAGTGTGTAATGTGATTTAGATGCATCCTCGGTATTGGCTTGCCCTTGTTGATGCTGAACAACTCCCTAATACTCCTGAGAATACTGACTGATGCAACTTGACTGAGAAGTCGTCGATCCTCTTCATTCGCGACTGAACAGTGGAGAAAATTGATCACGCTCTGTGTTGAAGCATCTTCTTGCACGATTGACGGTCGGCCATACAAGGTTGCTAGTTGTTGGTCACAGATATAGAGGATGTACCATATCCTTGCGCAGTCGGCGTCTTCGGTGCTTGAATCCTCGATGGCTCTGTCGTAGCTGTTATGAAGATCAAATTCAGCGGCTCGACGGATCGCATGCCCGGAAAGCATCCACGATACATCACTTAGCCAGTAGGAACCAATGCAAAGGGCTCGCAGGTAATCACGGTCCAGTCGTCTCTCAAAGATTGTCATCTCGATGAGCCTTCGAAACTCAGAGCTGCAGATAGGATAGAGGGAGTCGGCTGTCGAATCATGCAGAGAAGCAACTGTGAGGATTGCTACAAGCAAGAACTGGCTTTTTTGTCTTAGTTCTTGTAATGACTCGTAAGGGCAGCCGATGAGGTAGATGTATGGATTTAGGCGTCTCCGGTAGAAACTGAATAGTCTTTCTGCATCAGCCAAAGAGATGGACCGTCTTGTGATGAAGTCATCGATGCCGTGGCTGTGTTGTGAGTTGACGTCGTCGGGAGATCGAAGAGCTCGTAATTTTGTGAGGGTATAGAGAGAGTGGATAGGCACATAAGGGAGACCCTCATCTTCCGGCATCAGCTTGGGCGAGTTATCGCGAGACGGAACGTGATGACCCTTGTTGGAGGGAATTGAGTGACCGGGTGAGTCTTCTTTAGAGAGTTCCGCACCAGCGGATGAGCGGAGAGCTGGTAAATCCAGGTCAAGTTTTCCAGCGACTTGCTTTAGAAAGCCATGCATCTGCTCAAGGTCTTGTAGCACATCTTGAGAGAACCTAACCTTTTGTTAAACAACGTCAAGACTCAATTGGAGATGAATAACCCACTGTGACTTTTCATCTAGGATGGTCTGAAGACTCTTGCCTAGGACACAACTCAAGTTCTTTTCTGCGCACCTTCGACACGGCGGGCCACTCTCGTCAATCAAGCATTTTATCTAGCACTCGTTAGTCAACCTGATCCATCACTGCAACCCAATGAGCTCTCACCTTGTGTCTCCGACAAGCCGTGCAAGCCTTGACCTTTCTCGAGATCTGCGGAGGAAACTGCTGCTCACCTCCGACGGCTCCGTTATCAGTCTCTGACCAAGTTCGTTTCGACATGACGAGTTCAATCGCAAGACCCGCCCTTCTTTTGTGGAAAAGGGATATGTTTAGATATCACGACAGCCTGGTTGGCGGAGAAGTCGAAAGTTCGGGGGGTGTGGGCAAATTAACAAGCGGGGTTTTTCCGCGGCGACCTCCGTCAGGTTGTCACGGGAGTCCCGGCTAACTCACGATGCCTCCACCCTCGGTTCATCCACACCGCGAAAAAGATGTCAGCGGTATCGGTAGCTTCGGATGAGTTGTCCCGGCCGTTACACATCATGCTGCCGGGAGGCGGGGCTTCGACTGCGCCGCCGGTGTGGTCTTCGGGCTTCCGGGCCGAATCCACTTTGACCGAAAAGCGGAACGGAACGGAACGGCAATCACGGGAGGGTATGGACTCGTTCAATTCGTCTTATTCTTGGGCTTGCGCCTCTCATGCTCTATTTGGGGTTTGGCTGTAAATACTTGGGCTTGTCCGGGTCATATCCAACCAGGCAATTGACCGTCTCGTTACCCTCTCCGCTATCATTAATCTCCTTGCCTACGGGACCACGCCAATGTCCAGTCAGTTTAATGTAGCCGTCAAGTGCATTGTTCAGAGTATGTCCAATCTCAAGCGCCTCAGCTGCACGTGTGTGCGAATAAAAGGTCAGTAGACTCTGTGCTGCTTCCCGCTCACCCTGCTTGATCATGGTCAAGGCTGTCTTTTCCACCCAGCCATGGACTTGAACTCTAGACGCGGTCTCAAAGTCCGTGAGAACGTCTGTCACGATCGGGTGGTAGCGGTTTGGGTCTGAGCACATGTAGTATAGCACCCTCTTGAATACTCGGCCGGCAAACTCGGAGGCTTCTTGGAGTTGGTAGTCGGGGTTCAGGAAGCTGCTCGAGGCGCCGGTGGTCAGGTATCGGTGTTCGCCATACTCTGGAGGAATTGACTGAACACCGAGCCACCAGGGAATAAAAGGTGTCGACACAGAGCCAGTCGGGGCATTCCAAATCCGCAGCATGTCGCGATCGATGCCAGCATGAAGACTGACAACCTGTCCGTAACCAGCCTCGTCGTCGGCGATACGAGGATCTCGAACTCTCTCCATCATCTTCTCCTCCGTCATGGGGACCATCTCGAGGGTGGCGTTCTCAAGCGCAGCCTGCGACATGAACTTGTATCCTCCGTCGCGGGCCTTGTATCGAGGATCTTGCGGCCCGTAGACGTTGAAGATGTTGAATGGCTTGCCGGAGGTCTCGTTCCACCAACCTTGCTCAACAGCAAACGACACAATATTGTCAGAACCCATAAAATCGAGATCCCGGGTAAAGTTGACGGGAAAGTCCTCGATGTATCCCGGGTAGAGGACCTTGACATCGTTAGGTCCCAGTCGTTGCGCCGCCCACAGCTTCTTGCCACCAGCCATCTCCCAAACGACCCAACCCTCGTCCTTGTCGGCGATGAGATGAGAGTTACCGCCATAAGTTGATTCGCCATACTTTTTGATCAGATCTCCAATAATCTCGACACCTTCACGAGCAGTGCTGGCCCGCTCCATAACAATGCGGGCCAAGTCGCTGTATTGTAGACCGTGCTGAGGGTTCGGCGTCATTTCGAGAAGCTCGTCACGATTATCCGCCCAAACATCACGAACAGCAACGCCCTTTTCGTTTAGGCCGCCATTTGTCAATGGCGCTGGGAAACCCTCATAGTCCGAGTACTCCATGCTCATGTATCGGAGGGTATGGTTCACTTGAGGAATCTGAATGAGCTCTCCGGGAAAGGTAGCATCCTTGGTGACACCGACGCTGATGGTCGCGTTTGGTGGATGATCGCGGGCTGGGAAGAGCTGAAGCCAATGGCTAGAGACCTCTTCTCCAGTACCTCCGACGATAACGCTGCCGTCCTTGGTGAGGTTCTTGCCGACGTAAAAGGCATAGCTGGCTGAGGCAGGACAGGCCAGCGAAAGAGTCGCCGCCAGAACAATGTAATTGACCATAATCCTTAAACTTCAACCTCCATAAGAATAAAGGAAAAGCTGTAAAAAGTCGGGGAGCCAAGCCTGACGAAAAGACCGCAAAGAAGCAGGCCTCACCATGTTATAGCCTCAGTTTCCGCACGTGACTGTCGCTCAATTACTCAAGAAGGTAGCACGAGGCCGAAATTACAGAGTCTAAAAGTCTCCCCACAAGCGGGGAAGAAGACGGCAGGGTGTTTCCAAGCCTAGCCTAGTGATGGTCAGGAACGGGAACTATACGATGATAAGAGCTTGGAAAGGTCGGTCTTGGCGGAGGCCTAGGGTAGTATGGATGGATGAGCTACGGAGTTGTCGGGGAACTTTGAGAGA